TCCAGGTGCTGTGATCAAATCCCATGTTGGGCCCCCTGCTCAGTGGGGAGTCTGCTTCTCCCTCTGCCTCTGCTCCTCCCCTCTGCTTGTATGGCATGCACTCTCTCTCTCTCTCTCAAATGAATAAATCTTTAAAAAAGGTAAAATAAAGGCATATATAGAGATTAACAAAACCTGCAAGAATTCACTGCAATATAATGTATACTGTTCTTAGATAATATTGAACTGGTATAATATTAATTCAGGATGATTAGTAAAGTATATAAGCTGTAATCCCTACAGAAACCACTTAAAAAATACATCACAAAAGCATTAATCATAAAAAAGTAGGTATGGTTGTATTTCTTTTTTTTTTTTTTAAAGATTTTTTATTTATTTATTTGAGAGAGAGAGAATGAGAGAGAGCACATGAGAGGGGGGAGGGTCAGAGGGAGAAGCAGACTCCCCGCCGAGCAGGGAGCCCGATGCGGGACTCGATCCAGGGACTCCAGGATCATGACCTGAGCCGAAGGCAGTCGCTTAACCAACTGAGCCACCCAGGCGCCCGTATGGTTGTATTTCTATAACCACAGATAAAGAAGGGCATTCCAAAATGATAAAAGGGTAAATCCATCAGGAAGACAGAATAATCATAAATGCACATGCACTCAATAACAGAGCTTCAAATTACATTAAGCAAAACCAGACAGAACTAAAGCAAGAAATGGACAAATACATATTCATACTACCTATCAATCAAGTATCACAAAAGAATAAAGACATTTTCAGAAATGCAAAGTCTACAAAAACGTATCTCTCACATACCCTTTCTTAAGAAGATACTGGAGAATGTATTCCAATAAAACAATATTCACCCAAACAAGACAAAGACATGGGAAGGGGCAAGGAAACAATCAATATCAGAGGTGAATGAAATCCCTAGGAAAAGTGTGAAAGTGTGAAAGAGAATGCAGGATGGCAGAGATTCTCTACTGACACCAAACTGCTTGTCATAGAGACTGGAATAGTGTGATTCAAAAGCAGGCATTTTGAGGGCTGTCACAAACAATATGCCTTCTGCATTGTACCACCTTTTTAACCTGAGGGCAGAATGCCTGGGTGAACCTGGCCCAGATTCTTTTCCATACTTGGTTTGACTTGTTTTGAACATGTGCTGATGACGACTCTTTCTCCCCTCCAAACAAGGCTGCCTTGGATTAGATGAGGACACTCACTTCTTGTGTTCTGCTTTGATCTACTCCTGAGAGTGGGCAGTTGACCAGTGAGCTAAGAAGCAAAGAATATAGAGCAACCCACTTGCTCTAATTATATTTCTACCAGACATTCAATACCTGATCCACACTTTGACCCTGCCAGATGGCCCAACCATGTGAGCCCTATGTTTCTCATGACCTTGCCAATGACTTCTCCAAATGGGATTTCTGGAAACTCTCAGAAAAGCTGAAGCCAGACTATGACTCAGAGACTCTATTCAACTCATTTTCTCCTAGAAACCTTTATCCAATACCAGCAAAATTTCTAGACACAACTAGACTTATGCTTACTTGATCATTTTTGCCATACTGCTCCCCAGAGTAAGGCTGTATCATTTTAGACTATGACCAATAATGCATGACTGGTTACATCTCTTTAGTTAACACTGGCTAATGTAACTTGAAAAAACAATGATTAACAACCCAAAGGATACAAATGTAGTGATCTGAAGGGGCACCTGCACCCCAGTGTTTATAGCAGCAATGTCCACAATAGCCAAACTATGGAAAGAGCCCAGATGTCCATCAAGAGATGAATGGATAAAGAAGATGTGGTATATATTTACAATGGAATATTACTCAGCCATCAAAACCCTGAAATTTTACAATATGTAATGATGTGGATGGAACTGGAGGGTATTATGCTAAGCAAACTAAGTCAATCACAGAAAGACAATGATCATATGATTTCACTCATATGTGGAATTTAAGAAACAAAAAACAGAGGATCATAGGGGAAGGGAGGGAAAAATAAAATAGGACGAAATCAGAGAGGGAGACAAACCATAGACTCATAACTATGGGAAACAAAATGAGGGTTGCTGAAGGGGAGGTGGGTGGGGAGATGGGGTAACTGGGTGATGGGCATTAAGGAGGACACATGATGTTATGAGCACTGGGTGTTATACACTATGATGAATCACTGAACTCTACCTGTGAAACTAATAATACACTATATGTTAATTAATTGAATTTAAATAAATTTTTAAAAAACCCCAAATAACAAAAAACACCCAAGTCTTGGCAAAGGGAACATGGGTGCATTAAAGGACATCTTTAGATCTTAATGTCTGAAAGAAAAAGAAAAAAGAACTCCACCAATCAGAAAGAAAATTATGCAAAACAAGGTAATATAAATTCCAGTTAGAGTTTCACAAAATTGAATTTTATATTGATTAGGGATACATATAGATAAGCTGTAAAATCTTTAAAGAAAGCAGGAGAATAATTCACAAAAATATCCAGACAGTGGCTACCTAGTAGGAGGACTGAATCATAGAATGTATCATAAGGAACAGAGAATGTTCTATTTCTTATTTTTATTTTTATTTCATTTGAGAGACAGCCTGTGTGTGCAAGAGGGGGGGGTTGGGCAGAGGGAGAAACAGGCTCCTCACTGAGGAGGGAGCCCAATGTAGAGCTCGATTCCAGGACCCTGCGATAATGACCTGAGCCAAAGGCAGATGCTTAATTGACTAAGCCACCCAGGCACCTCAGAGAATGTTCTATTTCTTAACTTGGGTATGGTACATGGGTGCCTATTTTATTATTATTCTTTAAGGCATACATATTTATTATACACATTGTTATAATGTGTATAAAGAGTATTACAATGCTTTAAATACTCCTCTGTATATATGTTACATTACACAATTTAAAAAAAAATGAGGAAACTCTGTTCTGATATGGAAAGACTTCAGATATGTTATTGAGTGATAAAAATACATAATCAAGAGAATGAAAAGACAAGCCACAGATAGGGAGAAAATCTTTGCAAAACACATACCTGAAAAAGGACTGGTATCCAAAATATATAAAAGAACTCTTAAAAATCAACAATATGAAAGCAAACCACCTGATTTAAAAATGGGCCAAAGACTTTCACAGACACCTCATCAAAGAAAATATACAGATGGCAAATAAACATATGAAAAGATGCTCAACATCATGTCATAAAGGAACTGCAAATTACAATGAAATACTGCTACACACCTATCAGAACGGCCAAAATCCACAACACCGACAGCACCAAATGCTAGCAAGGATGTGGAGCAACAGGAACTCTCATTTGTTGCTCATGGGAATGCAAAATGGTACAGACACTTTGAAAGACAGTTGGGCAGTTTCTTACAAAACTAAACATACCCTTACCATATGATCTAGCAATTACACTCCTTAGTACTTATTCAAGTAAGTTATTTTATCTCCTGCACATGAATGTTTGTAGCAGCTGTCATAACTGTCAAAACTTGGAAGCAACCATTCAATAGGTGAATGGATAAATAAATGACGGTACATCCATATAACAGAGTATTATTCAGTGGTAAAAAGAAATGATCTATCAAGCCATGAAAAGATATACAGGAACCTCAAATGCATATTTCTAAGTGAAAAAAACTAATGGTTACATACTGTATGATTCCAAGTATATGACATTCTGGGAAAGACAAAACTATGCACACAGTAAAAAGATCAGTGGTTTCCAGGGGCTCAGGGAGAGGGAGGGAAGGATGAACAGATGGAGCACAGGGGATTTTTAGGCCAGGAAACTATTCTAGGAAACTATAGTGGTGGATACTTGTCATATATTTGTCAAAATCCATAGACAACACCAAGAATGAATCCTAATGTAAACTACAGATTTTAGTTAAAGTGTCCATATTGGCTCATGAATTCTTTTTTTTTTTTTTTAAAGATTTTATTTATTTATTTGACAGAGAGAGACACAGTGAGAACACAAGCAGGGGGAATGGGAGAGGGAGAGGGAGAAGCAGGCCTCCTGCTCAATCTCAGGACCCTGGGATCATGACCTGAGCAGAAGGCAGACGCTTAACCGACTGAGCCACCCAGGCGCCCCTGGCTCATGAATTCGAACAGGTATACCACATTAATGGAAGATGCTAATAACAGGGTATTGTGTAGAAGGAGTGAAAAAATATATGGGAACTCTCTACTTTTTGCTCACATTTCTGTAAACTCAAACTGCTCTAAAAAAATGAAGTATTAATTAAAAACAAAATAAAACTCATATAGGATGCCTGGGTGGCTCAGTTGGTTAAACGTGTGCCTTTAGCTCAGGTCATAATCCCGGGGTCCTGGGATGGAGCCCAACATTGGGCTCCCTGCTCAGTGGGGAGCCTGCTTCTCCCTCTGCCGCTCCCTCTGATTGTGTTCTCTCTCTTGTTCACACTCTCAAATAAATAAAAAATCTTTATAAACAAATCAGCATGATTAATATGCTATCATAATAACCTATATTTGTACTTGTGTAAATATGTACATATAAACTCTGGAAAGCTACTCAAGAAAGGAATAACAGCGGTACTCGTGGAGGCTGGGGGAGAATTTAAATACACACCCAGGGATTTACTGAATTCTTTGGCATCATGATAATTTGATTGAAAAAATAAAATACACATAAAACCCTGCATTTGCAGTGAAGAATGCTACATAAAATAACCAGAGACAAACTGATAAACCCACTGTGTGTGGGGATGTTGTCCAAAACACCATCTATATGAAGGTCCATAAAATTTATTCAGACCTAATACCAGAGAACCAAGGAGATGACACTCATACTCAATTCAAAACAACCTGTTTGCTTTTTGGCTGCTGGTACTGATCAATCATTCTTACTATGTTTCCCTTGAGTTTTACTCATCTATGCCTTTCTATTTCATTTTCTGGGTCCTTAGAAACTTCCTCAGATGCACTGAAAAATAAAGTTGGGAAAAACAATCAACTCACCTGGGATTTGTTCATTTTTTGCAGTTTTTGGGTGAAGCCTGGGAACTATGAAGGCAGAACTGGAAGACAGAAAAAGAAAGATATTGTTATTAATGATTGGACCTGCCTTGGAACCCCCTACAATGACTTGTTTACAGAGCATTACACATCACTTGGGAAAACACCACCTACTGGGATAGTCCCTTGCCTCTTCAGAAGGGACAGGAAAGGGGTGCCTGGGTGGCTCTGTCAGTTGAGCAGCCAACTCTTGATTTTGGCTCAGGTCATGATCTCGGGGTCCTGGGATTAAGCCCTGCGTTGGGCTCCATGCTCAGCAGGGAGTCTGTTTTCAGATTCTCTCTCTCTCTCTCTCTCTCTCCCTCTGCCCCTCCCCCTACTTGCAGTCTCTTTCTCTAAAATCAATCAATCCTTTTTAAAAAGATTTATTTATTTATTTGAGACAGAGAACAAGCCAGAAGGTCAGAGGGAGAGAGAAACTCAAACACACTCCAAGCTGAGCATGGAGCCCGACGCAGGGCTCAATCCCATGACCCTGAAATTACAACCTTAGCCAAAATCAAGAGTTGGAGGCTTAACCAACTTAGCCACCCAGGCACACCTAAATAAATCTTAAAAAAAAGAGGAGGGACAGAAAAGCTCATGCTGTCAACATTCACCTTCAATCAAACATTATGAGATACCAGAAAAGGCAAGACTAAGACAACCCACTATCAAGAGACAAAGCAATCAACACAAGCTTCAACTGATGAAAATATCAGACAGGGAATTTAAAACAATTATGATTCATCTTTTAAAAATTTTTACGGAAAAGGTGGACAACATGAAGAAACAAATGGGAGATTTGAGAAGAGATGAAAACTGCAAAAAAAAAAAAAAAAAACCTCAAATGGAAAATACAGAAAGCACAGTAACAGAGTTGAAAGAATACCTTTAACAGGTTCAGTAGTAGACTCAATAAAGCTGAGGAAATTTTCAGTAATTCTGATGACAAGTCAAAAGAAATTACCCAAAATGAAACACAAAGTAGAATGAAAAATTAAACAGATAATCCAGGGGTGCCTGGGTGGCTCAGTCAGTTAAGCAGCTGCCTTCAGCTCAGGTCATGATCCCAGGGTCCTGGGATGAAGCCCTGCATCCAGCTCTCTGCTCAGAGGAGAGCCTTCTTCTCCTCTCCCTCTGTCAGGGGCTGTGCCTACTTGTGCTCTATCTCTCTGTCAAATAAATAAAATCTTAAAAAAATAGAGAATCCAAAGGCTGTAGTACAGTATCAAACAGCGTAACAAACATGTCATTGGAATACCAAGAGGAGAAGAGAGAATGGAACAGAAGTATTTGAAGACATAATGACTGCGAATTTTCCAAAAATAAGGAATGATACCAACTATAGATCCAAGAAGCTCAAATAATTATCCAAACAGGATAAATACCAAGCCAAACCATATGCAACACATCATATTCAAACCACTGAAAACTGAGGTTAAAGAGACAGTCTTGAAAGTAGCCAGAGGGAAAACTGACATGTTATATAGAGGACCAAGATAAAGAGTCACAGCCAGTTTCTCATTAGAAACTATACAATCCAGAAGATAATGCAGTGACATCTTTAAAGTACTTAAAAAGGGAGGGGGGCAGGGTGCCTGGATGGCTCAGTTGGTTAAGCGACTGCCTTCGGCTCAGGTCATGATCCTGGAGTCCCAGGATCGAGTCCCGCATCGGGCTCCCTGCTCAGCAGGGAGTTGGCATCTCCCTCTGACTCTCCCCCCTCTCCTGTGCTCTCTCGCTCTCAAATAAATAAAATCCTAAAAAAAAAGTGGGGGGGCAACTATCAACCCAGTATTCTATACCCAGCAAATATATCCTTCAAAAAAAGAAACTGAATCAAAACCTTTTTGAACAAACAAAAACAGAGAATTCATTACCAGTAGACTTGTACTACAAGAAATATTTAAAGTAGTTCTTCAGGTAGAAGGAATATGATATGAGACAAAAACCTGGATCTACACAATGAAATAAAGCTCTCTGGGAATAGTTAAAGATGACTCTAACAAACCATGAGAGATGATGGACTCTGAAAAACAAACTGAGGGTTCTAGAGGGGAGGGGGATGGGAGGATGGGTTAGCCTGGTGATGGGAATTGAGGAGGGCACCTACTGAATGGAGCACTGGGTGTTATGCACAAACAATGAATCATGGAATACTACATCTAAAACTAATGATGTAATGTATGGGGATTAACATAACAATAAAAAAAAGATAACTCTAAAGGAAACTTCTTTTTCTTTTTTTTTTTTAGATTTATTTATTTGACACAGAAAGCACAAGCAGGGGAAGCGGCAGGGAGCAGGAGAGGGAGAAGCAGGCTTCCCACTGAGCAGGGAGCCTGATGCGACGAGATGCAACACAACACAATGCGGGGCTCGATCCCAGGACCCTGGGACCATGACCTGAGCCAAAGGCAGTTGATTCACCAACTGTGCCACCCAGGCGTCCCAAGGAAACTTTTTCTTACTTTTAATCACTCTAAAAGATAACTGATTTGTCAAAAAATAGCAGCAGTTTTGTGGGCTTATGGTATATGTAGAAGTAAAATACATGACAAGAGCACAAAAGATGGGATGATGAAATTGGGAGTATACGGTCATAAGGATCTTATATTATACACAAAGCAATATAATATTACTTAAAGGTCCACTGTGATTAACTCCAGATGTATACTGTAAACTCTAGAGCAACCACAAAAGAAATTTTTTAGGAGGTATAAATAAGCCAATAGTGGAGAAAAAAAAAAATGAAATCATAAAAATACCCACTAATCCAAAAGTAGTCAGAAAAAGAGGAAAATAAGAACAAATAGGACAAGTAGAAAAAACTAGCAAGACGGTAGATTTTAATCAAACCATGCTGATAATTGGTATAAATACATCAAAGAAATGATAGAGGTTGTCAAACTGGAAAAAAAAAACAAGGCCAAACTATGTGCTGTTTATAAGCAGTCTGAAACATAAAAACATAGCTAGATCAAAAGTAGAAGGATGGGGGCGCCTGGGTGGCTCGGTCTGTGTCTGACTGACACAGTGTCCGTGTCTGACTCTTAGTTTTGGCTCAGGTCATGATCTCAGGGGCCTGAGATCAAGCCCCCCATGGGGCTTCATGCTCAGCGTGCAGTCCGCTTGTCCCTCTCCCTGTGCTTCCCCTCTCCCCACACATTCTTTCTCTCTCCCCCGTCTCCAGAATAAAATCTTAAAAAAAAAAAAAGTAAAAGGATGAAAAAGATATGCTTTGTAAACACCGATCAAAAGAAAGCTAGAGTAGGGCGCCTGGGTGGCTCAGTTGGTTAAGCGACTGCCTTCGGCTCAGGTCATGATCCTGGAGTCCCGGGATCGAGTCCCGCATCGGGCTCCCTGCTCGGCAGGGAGTCTGCTTCTCCCTCTGACCCTCCTCCCTCTCCTGCTCTCTGTCTCTCATTCTCTCTCTCTCAAATAAATAAAATCTTAAATAAAAAAAATAAAAATAAATTAAAAAAAGAAAGCTAGAGTAATTATATTACTATAAAACAGAGTAGACTTCAGAATATTACCAGAGACAGAGTGATATTATATGTCACTGTGATAACACCTGATAAATGTGCCAAATGACCAGAAGACCTAACAATCCTAAATGTATAAGTACCTAACAAAAGAACTTCAAAATACAAGAAGCAAAAACTGACAGAACAGAAAGAAAAAAATAGATAAATCCACAATTATAGTTGGAGACTTTAATACTCTTCTCAGTGACAGAACAGGTAGACAGAAAACCAGTAAGGATACAGAAGAATTGAACCACACTATCAACCACCCTGACCCATTTCATATCTATAGAAGACTCCACCACCAACAGCACAACAGTCATTAAAGTATATATTAAAAATTCCTAAGATAGATCACATTCTTGGCCAGAAAACAAACCTCAAGTTTTAAAGAACTGAAATTTGTAACAAAGTATATTCTTTGAAACAATTAAACTAGAAATCAATTAATAGAAAGAGATCTGGAAATTCCTTCCTTCCAAATATTTGGAAATTAAACAACAGACTTCTAAATAACCAAGGGGTGAAAAGTCAAAAGGAAACCTTAAAAAAAACCATAGAACTGAATGGAAATGAAAGCACAACATATCAAAATTTGAGGGATATACCTAAAGTCGTAATACAGCATTAAACTATTAACTATATTAACTGTAACTATAAACACTGCATTAGGGACACCTGGGTCGCTCAGTCAGTTAAGCGTCTGTGTTTGGCTCAGGTCATGATTCCGGGGTCCTTGCTCACCAGGGAGACAGCCTCTCCCTCTGCCTGCCGCTCCCCCTCTCTGACAAATAAATCTTAAAAAATAAAAAATAAAAATAAACATTGCATTAAACTATAACAGAAAAGAAGAAAGATTTTCATCAATGAACTCAGCTTTCACCTTAAGAAATCAGAAAGAAAAAAGGAAATCAAACCCAAAGCAAACATAAGGAAATAATAAAGCACAGAAATATATTTTAAAAAAAAAACAACTTCAAAACAGAAAAACAAGAGAAATTCAAGAAAACCAAAAGCTGGTTATCTGAAAAGATCAATAATACTGAAAAACTTCTAGGCAAACTGACCAAAAGGAAGAAAAAAAAGGAGGACACCAATTACCAGTATCAAAAATGATGGAGGAGACACTACTATAGATGCTATAGATATTAAAGAGTTATTCTTTAATAATAAAAATAACTTATCTACAATAATTAAGGAGGCAAAAACAAAAAGGAGGAGAAATCCCAAATATACAAAATAAGAACAGTGGAAAATATCAACAAAAACAAGAGAAAAAATATGAAATAATGGAAAAATGATTAAGTCTTCAATAGCAATAAAATACGACATAAGAATACAGTTGAGAGGGGCGCCTGGGTAGCTCAGTCCTTACGCGTCTGCCTCTGGTTCAGGTCCTGATCCTGGAGTCCCAGGATCCAGTGCCACATCGGGCTACCGGCTCCGCGGGAGGCCTGCTTTTCCCTCTCCCACTTCCCCTGCTGTGTTCCCTCTCTCACTCTCTGTCAGATAAATAAATAATATCTTAAAAAAAAAAAAGTTGAGAAAAATGACAAACTTTTGTCATTAAGGTTCTCAAGTGCCGTTAAGGGGGACAAAACAAAACAGGACTTGAACACCGGGAAGGCCTGCAGTTAAGACCCAACATCATAAAGGAGTCCATTCCCCCCAATTAAATGCAGCCATGAATAGGATCATCATAAAAGTATAGACAGATTTTTTAATACAGCTGATTCCAAAGTACAGTGGGAATCATAAGTCAACTTGCATAATCTCAAAGTGGGAAGAGCAGTAAATTCAACTACAGAGAAATTCAAAACGCCTGCATGGCTAAACTACCAGTGAGCAAAATCAAAAGGCAAATGAAAAAACATGTGCCATTCACACAAAGTACTGGCTGGCCGTATGACCTCGGGTATTCCATCCATCTGAGCCTCCGTTTTACCTCCAGTTGCAACTGAGATACTAGCGGCGTCACAGGCTAGATTAAGGATCAGAGGCAGATTTAGCTTTAAAGGCTTTCGCAGAAAGATTTGGCACGCCGTGTGCATCAGGCAACTCGCGCGGGCTTTCCTGCCTCCCGGCACCTGGCGAAGCTCGGGCACGCCGCACGCGGCTTCCGGGCGCCGCCAGGTGTGTCCGGCCCCGCCCCCGGCCTCGCCCCGCGCCCTCGGGGCCTGGTCACGCGCGCGCCCGCGCGGGCTTCCGGACTCGCTCCCGCGCGGCAGGAGACCCTTGCGGCCGGTCGGCGGCGCTTCTCCTGACAAAGGGAGGAAAGCGAGCCCTCGCCGCCGCCGCCCTCCCTCGCCGCCGTCTCCGCCCCCGCACGTCCGGCCAGGCGGCCCCGCCAGCCCCGCGCCGACGACAGCGCCGGGCGGCCCCTGACGCCGCCCCAGGGGTCGCCGCCGCCTGCGAGTCGCCGAAGTTTGGGCTCCCGCCCCGCGCGGACAGGAGCCCATCCCTCATCTCCTTCCCCTCGGCCCTCAAGCCCCGCGGAGCTGCGTGGCAACCCCCCTCATACCTGGAGGGGCACAGCCTCCACTTGTGGCTCAGTGCCAGGCCGGGTCACGGCGCGGGTCGGTGAAGACGCGCGGAGACCGGGGCCCTGTCACCCACTCAAGGCAGGAGGTGGGGGAAGGGCAGCCGCCGGCGCGCTCGCAGCATTGCACATGCGCAGATGCAAGGGCTGCTCGCCGTCCCAGGGTCCTCTGAGCGGTGGCTTATCCAACTCCGGGACTACATTTCCCATAAGCCTTTGGGCGTGCCGCTGTAGAGACTCTCAGGAAGGTCTTCTAGTTTGGCGGGTGGCAGGAGCCTGACCGAGATAATCCCCGGCGGAGGCGATAATCCCGGGTCTGAACTGTTCATTTCTTCCAGAAAGGGTTATGAATTATAACTACCACTTACCCCCAAATACAAAAACCTGGCCTTTAAAGATTACATAGGTAATCTATGATAACTAATTAGAAAATATATATAAAATAAAAGTAAACGTCACCTATAATTTTTCAAAGATAACCGTATGTAACATTAAATTCATACCTTTCTCATTTTTAAAAAATACAATTGGCTAGGGGTGCCTAGCTGGCTCAGTTCCATGGAGAATCTCAGGGTTATGGGTTCAAGCCCCATGTTGGGTGTAGAGATTACTTAAAAATAAAATCTTTAAAAAAAATTAAAGTGGGGGCACCTGGGTGGCTCAGTCGTTAGTTAAGCATCTGCCTTTGGCTCAGGTCATGATTCCAGGATCCTGGGATCGAGCCCTGCTTGGGGCTCCCTGCTCGGAGGGAAGCCTGCTTCTCCCTCTCCCACTCCCCCTGCTTGTGTTCCCTCTTTTGCTGTATCTCTGTCAAATAAATAAATAAAATCTTAAAAAAAATAAAAGTAAAAAAATAAAATTGGCCATAAAGATATCACGGGCTGCAACTAGCTTCTTTCGTCTTTATTTTTTAGGGCAGTTTTATGTTCACAGAAAAATTTGAGGGAAAGTACAGAGAATTTCCATACACGATTGGCCTCTGCACATGCATAGTCTTCATTATCAACATCCCCTACTGCAGTGCTACATTTGTTTGTTATAATGAAATGTACATTGACACATCACCCAAAGTCTGTAGTTTACATTAGGATTCATTCTTGGTGCTGTACAGTCTATGGATTTTGATATGTATATATATGATGTATAATATAAAATGACATGTATCCACCACTATCATACAGAATAATTTTTCATCCCCTGTGCTCCTTCTATTCATCCCTACCTCCTTCTCCCTGAACCCCTGGAAAACACTGATATTTACATGTGCATAGTTTAGTATAGTTGGAATCATACAGAATGTAGCCTTTTCAGATTAGCTTCTTTCACTTAGAAATATGCATTAGAGGTTCCTGTATATCTTTTCATGGCTTGATAGCTCATTTATTAAAGATTTTTTTTTAAATTTTAAGTAATCTCTACACCCAACGTGGGGCTTGAACCCACAACCTTGAGATCAAGAGTCACACATTCCATTGATTGAGCCAGCCAGGTGCCCCAATAGCTCATTTCTTTTTACCACAGAATAATATCCTGTTACTTGGATGTACTGCCATTTATTTATCCATTCACCTACTGAATGGTTGCTTCCAAGTTTTGACGATTATGAATAAAGCTGCTATAAATATTCATGTGCAGGGTTTTGTGTGGAAATAAAATAACTTATCTGGGTAAGCACTAAGGAGTATAATTGCTAGCTCATATGGTAGGAGTTTGTTTCGTTTTATAAGAAACTGCCAAACTGTGTTTCAAAGTGGCTGTGCCCTTTTGCATTCCCACCAGCAGTGAATGAGAGTTCACGTTGCTCCACATCCCTGCCAGCATTTGGTATTGTCGCTGTTGTGGATTTTGGCCATTCTGATAGGTGTGTAGTGGTAGCAACTAGCTTTTAATTAAAACAATACATGGTTTCAAAAAAGGTACTTGTGGGCGCCCGGGTGGCTCAGTTGGTTAAGCGGCTGCCTTCGGCTCAGGTCATGATCCTGGAGTCCCTGGATCGAGTCCCGCATCGGGCTCCCTGCTCGGCAGGGAGTCTGCTTCTCCCTCGGACCCTCCCCCCTCTCATGTGCTCTCTTTCTCATTCTCTCTGTCTCAAATAAATAAATAAAATCTTTAATTAAAAAAAAATAAAGAGAGGGGCGCCCGGGTGGCTCAGTTGGTTAAGCGGCTGCCTTCGGCTCAGGTCATGATCCCGGAGTCCCGGGATCAAGTCCCGCATCCGGCTCCCTGCTCGGCGGGGGGCCTGCTTCTCCCTCTGACCCTCTTCCCTCTTGTGCTGTCTCTCATTCTCTCTCTCAAATAAATAAATAAAACCTTAAAAAAAAAAAAAGGTACTTGTACATCAATGTTCATAGTGGCATTATTCACAATAGTCAAATGGTAGAAAGAACCCAAGAATGGATAAATAAATGTGGTATATATGTATGATGGAATATTATTCAGCCAAAAAAAAAAAAAAAAAGAATGAAGTTCTAACCCATGCTGCAACGTGCCTGAACACTAAAGATATGCTAAGTGAACTAAGCCAATATTGTGTACTTCCACCTACAGGAAGTATCTAGAATAGGCAAATTCATAGAGAAAGTAGAATAGAGATGACCAAGGACTAGAGGGAGGGAGGCATGGGGATGATGTGTGGAACGATGAAAATTTTCTGAAAAGAGATAGTGCGAGGGGTGCTTGGGTGGCTGTCGGTTGAGGGCCTGACTCATGATTTCCACTGAGGTCACGATCTCAGGGTCGTGCTTGGTGGCGTGGAGCCTGCTTGAGCTTCTCTCTCTCCCTCTGCCCTTCCAGCCCTGCTCACACACTCTCTCTCAATAAATAAATAAATAATCTAAAAAGAAAAAAAGAGTGCTTGTGGCTATACAACATTGTGGATATGCTTAATGCCACTGAATTGTATGCTTAAATGGTTAAAATGGTCAATTTAATGTTATGTATATTTTATCAGAATTAAAAAAAATAAACTGGGAGATGGACATTGGGGAGGGTATGTGTTGTAATGAGCACTGGGTATTATATAAGACTGATGAATCACAGACCTGTACCCCTGAAACAAATAATACATTATATATTAATTGAATTTAAATTTTAAAAAGTGGGGGAAAAAGAATAAAAAAATAATATCCTGGATTGAAGTGATGGATGCATAACTCTAAATCACTAAAAATCAAATTCTCTGAAAGGTATTTTTGTTATTTACTAATTATACTGTTCTGATTATTTTTTCGTTTGATGGAATAATTCCATACTTCAGAAAGAAAAACAGACTACTCAAGACATTTTTTTAAAAAAGACTAATAACTATTAGATATAAAAATGCATTACACAAAATAATACCTTTTATGTGTATTTTGAAGACTACTGGAATATACAAAAATCCCATCCCCCATATGCACACAAAGGACAAAATAATTAGGACAAAATAATTTGTCCTACCGCCTTATGCCTAACAGCACAGAATATTGTGTGTGTGAACTGTTTCTGAAGAGCTTGAAAAATTCAAAACCACATTATTTTCTGTTAATTACCTCTTAGGAATAAAGGATAAGTGTAGAGAATGTTTTTTGGAAAACACATTGCTTTTTCTTTTGTTTTTGGGGGGTTTTTGAAAGATTTTATTTATTTATTTGACAGAGAGAGACACAGTGAGAGAGGGAGCACAAGCAGGGGGAGTGGGAGAGGGAGAAGCAGGCTTCCCGCCGAGCAGGGAGCCCGATGTGGGGCTCGATCCCAGGACCCTGGGATCATGACCTGAGCCGAAAGCAGATGCTCAACCAGCCAAGGCACCCAGGCGTCCCCACAATTGCATTTTTTATTTAACTGTTGCTTTTAGGGGCACCTGGCTGGCTCAGTTGGTGGAGCATGTGACTCTTGATCTTGGGGTTGTGCGTTCGAGTCCCACGACTGGTGTAGAGATTACTTAAAAAATTTTTTTTTAATCTTAAATGTAGCTTTTAATTTTTTTGACTTTTCACTAAAGTTTCACAGAGTGCTCTCTTCCCAGTCAACTACCCAGTATATCCTACAGGTTGTTCGATCACCTAGGTGTGTTGTAACATCTACTTCTGTTCCAACAGGCACTGGCACCATTAAGGACATGCTTGGATGGCACTGCTATAGGATGTAAAGGGATTTTAACTGTAATGATCGTGACTAAAGTGGAGCACATAAATAACAGTGTGGTTTGTTCATAGGCATTAAACAAAAAAAGTTTTAATTTTTGTTAACTTGCTCAAATGACATTACTATGGGGCAGAGATCATATATCACAACACGTGACCTTATCAATGAACTTTTGTACTCTGTTGTATTAAAATCCACTGGGAGGCACCTGGGTGGCTCAGTTGGTTAAGCGTCTGCCTTCAGCTCAGGTAGTGATCCCAGGGTCCTGGGATCAAGCCCTGGCTTGGGCTCCCTGCTCAGGGGGGATTCTGCTTCTCCTTCTCTCTCTGCTCCTCCCCCTCCCGCTTGTGCTTTCTCTCTCTCAAATAAATAAATAAATTCTTAAAAAAAAAAAAAATCCGGGCGCCTGGGTGGCTCAGTTGGTTAAGTGACTGCCTTGGGCTCAGGTCATGATCCTGGAGTCCCGGGATCGAGTCCCACGTCGGGCTCCCTTCTCGGCAGGGAGTCTGCCTCCCTCTCTGACCCTCCCCCCTCTCATGCTCTCTATCTCATTCTCTCTCTCTCAGATAAATAAATAAAATCT